GACAGGGTGCTGGAGAGCCCTCATGCCCTGAACGGACCCACACAGCTGGGTATGTCATGGATTCCTGGGGGGAGTGGCAGATGATGTGCCTGTCTGTGCTGACCATGTAGGACGTAGAAGATGTGCACATTATTGGATTTATGAAAACAGGGTTTCTGCTTTTTGGCGGACTACCTAGGATATGGACAACTTAGGAAGACGTCGGCAGCAGTTTTGGCCGTGGTAAAGCTGCCAGCCTTACGTGACGGACTAATCCGTGTCTCGAGCTCAACCGCAAGCTGGACGAGAGTTCTGAAAATCGTAGGCCACTTGCGGCTCCTGGAACTCGCCGGCATGAAGGATTCAACCTTGGAGAAAGATAATCGAGCACGGACCAGGCGGAATGTCCACAAATTCTGTCTGTTTGGATTCACCATTGAGTGTACCAGCAGAAGATGAAGGCAGACAGAAAACAGAGTCTGCTGCTCAAACAGTTGTTCATCTGAATTTGGCCTCCCCGCCGGCCTTGGACGGGCCAACTTATCTCAAGTTGGAGGTAAACTAGAAGCTCTGCCTGGCCGTGTTCTCTCAGGTGTTTCAGCTGTGGCAGAAACTGAAATGAGAAGAGTTGGAGACAACAACTCTGAGGAGATCCGGTTTGTAAAGGTTCTGCGCATGTTCAGTGAAAGGACAACGAGCCTCAAACTCACGGGAGGAAACTGAGACCCCCCCGACGTTCCAAGACATTTTGGGGACGTCTACAGAAGCGCTCGTTGACAACCATCAGGGACAAACTGGCTCCAGAAGATTAACAATCAGCAGGTTTGGGTTTAGATCCACGTGAGCTTGATTTGCAACAATTGCAGAAAATCAACGTTTGGAACTTGGTTCATCGTGTTCCTTGTTCATGTAAACTTTTTAATCTGAGCTCTACTTTGCAGAAAACGAAAGTAAAGTGACGTGTCGTCATCGCCTGTTTCTCTACAGTGATGAAGTTAGCTCTCTGCATTTAACTCAGATGGTGTAGAGGCAGGGCAGCCGGCTTGGGACCCGAGAGCCCCAGGTTCGATCCCCAGTCACTGCACATCACGTGGCGTCTCTGGGCAGCACGTCTAATCCCCAAAATGTCCCCCGGGCGCTTTCAATAGCTGCCCACTGCACCACCTGGTGGTGGATGGGTTAAATGCAGAGACTAATTTCGCCATTGTATGGAAACATACAGTGCTGACATTGTGATGACATTATTATTATTATTATTATATCCGACGTACAGCCAGGCGGAGCAGCCATGTAAGCACCGGGGGAGCAGGCGTCTTGCTCAGACACCACAACATGTGGGCATGGAGGGGAGTCGAACCTGCGGCTTTCTGGTCCCGAGTTGGCTGCCCTACCTCTACACCAAAACGTTCGGTCTGAGAGTCTCTGCTCAAAATAAAAATATCCGATTACGTCCAGTTCACAGTTCAAACCCGTTTGAGTCGTCGGCTCAGACTCAGGTGGAGTTTGTATTAGCGCAGAGCAGGAAGCCACAAGCAGCTGAAGGTCTCCACGTACACTGAAGGGAAAGCTCAGAACATTTCACGAAGCAGGACGGAGGAGGCACGAGCTGAGAGCAGGTTTGACGTTTCATCCAGATGACGCATGTTTTTCTACAGGAGGACGGAACGCGACAAGAACGTCTCCACAGCTTTAGTTCTGAAGTTTAATGAGATTAAAGTGAGACGTGTCCTGAAGCAAACCTTTTAAAGTTTGCTGTGAAGATGATCAGAAATTAGGTCCAAGAAGCTCGTCCAACAGATAACAGCTCAAGTCTTGATTTCAGTCAGCTTATAATTTATTCTAGCTGTAATTAAAACCAACGCTTCACAATAAGATGACATTAATAAAAGGTTTGATTTGAAAACTCTCTCGAGTCTTTTCCTCTTTCCTAAAAACACGACCTTCAGAAGCTGTTCATCGGCTGCAGTTCTTATTTTAAGGCCTAAATCTTTTCACGCGTTCTGATTTGTCTTGTGTAGTAACTCATGCAGCACCAAGCAGAAGAGATCCGGTTCTGTTAGTCCAAATGAGCCCGCGGCAGCAGAGCCCAAGTTACTGAGAGATCAGCCGGAGCATTAACCGTGGAGTCTGCGGGGCGACGAGGGCGTGAGATGGAAGCTTCAGATAAAGAACAATTACTCATGACATGTTAGAGAAACATTAAACACTATGTCGGTATAATGAAAACTATTTGTTTAATAAACTGGTTACAATTCTTTAATAGCTTTAGATGTAGGTACAAATGAAAATAATTTGTCAATAGAGGGGGAAATATTATATATATATAAAATATTATAGTTTATTCTCACACACCTAACTGTGTCTTTGTCAGTTCTTCGTATTTGTGAAGAGATTTAATATCTCGCTTTAAAATAATAAATTTGCTTCTTAATACATTATTAGTGAGCATGTTTGTTTTAAAAGGGACAAAATAAAAAAAATCCAACAGACGATTTAATTTTTAATTAAAGGTTTTACCTTTAATTCTTCTTTTGATGAAGCTGACCTCTACCGCTGCAGAGGGATTTTAATTTGTCTTAAAGGTGTTTAGTATAAATAAAAACTAGTTTATGTTCGTCCAGTAGATTTTTAACAGTTTTATTAAAATCCTGTTCGCTCGTTCATGAGTTCAGTGAAAACATTGAACCACAGCAAACGCTGCTTCCTCTACAGCCCAGCTGCTTCTACAGGAGGAGCTCAGGATGGGGAGCTGCAGTGTGATGGACCGGACCAGAACCTGCTGGAGCAGGTGTGTTTGTGGACCCAGAGCTCCTGTAGAAGTCTGGAGGGCACTACAGCGGTCCACTAAAGAGGAGCTAGAGGCTTCACAGCAACAACACAGCAGCGAGATGCTTCTCATACCTCCGACCGTCAGGAGCCTCAGCCGGTTCTCGAACCCGTCTGGAGTGGGGGGCAGCAGGGGGAGACACACCCGGACAATATTAGTGACCTCTGACCCATTGAACCCGTCCTACATCAGAGCCGTCTACAGCAGCGAGCTGGCATCTCGTCATCTCCATCACCGTTTGAGACGTCGTCACAGAAAAACATCTGGGTCGAAACAGAACTCTGGTTCTGGACTGAGGTGGTGCAGATAACGAGAGGACATCCTGCTGAGGTTACACCGTCCTCCACACACAACAGGAAGCTGCTCTGCACAGGTCAGCTTCGCTACAGGCGGGACGGGACTAATTCCTGACAGTGCCGGTTCGTTCAGGAACCACAGACTCTGGACTCTTTCAAATGTCACGCGATCCAGAACAAAGAGGGAGAAGGTCTGCAGACTTCTTCAGTCTCTGCACCTGAAGAGTTGTAACTTCTCCGACAAACCTCGGCACAGCGATCAGCCAACAAAGGTCAAAGGCCAACAAGAAGCCAGAACCTGGAAAGCACCAGACTTCACCAGCCGGATCAGAAGCGAACACCGGTTCTTAAACCACCGAGCGACAGCAGGTTCTCCGAGTTCTGCCTCGTTTCATCTCATCTATGTTCAGAGCAGATCCAGCACCTTTGAACATAAACGCTCGTTTCTCCCTGAAATATTTAGAGATGTTAACGTCACAGTAAAGGAAGCCTTTAAGTGGAGATAAAACCTGCTGATAAAACGTCGGCTTTCATGGAAACAGACGTTTAGTCGAGAATAAATTAATGCAACACTTTTCACACCTTCACGGCCACAGAAGAGGAAAAACAGGTCCAACTACGTGACGCGCAAGTTCGCACCCCCAGAAACTTTTAATTTGAAATCAAGTCTGAAGGAGTTCCCCAACATTTCAGTCCCATCCAACCATAAAACCCAAGGCCAAGAGACCCAGAACTCCTGAACTGGACCTCACCGTTACAGAACATTTAACAGCATCAGACACCCCCCCCCCCCAAAAAAAAAAAAACCAAAAAAACAACAACAACAACAAACAGAAGTTTGTCTTTAAAAAGTGGAGGAAATGAGGACTAATGTGTTGTACAGCAGGACTGAAGGAGCTTCAGGAAGTTCTGGTTGTGTTCTACAAACTCCTGCGTCCTCCTAAAGTCTGGACTCTGGGGAACCAAGAAAAACATCCAGGCCCAGAAGGATTTGGCATAAAATGATAAATCTCTCGGACATCTGTGGTCACCGTTCTAACAGGTCTATTTGGAGCAGGAACCAGACTGGACGAGCCTCTCACAGTGAAGCATGGTGGTGGACGCAGCATGCTGCGGGCTACGTTTCTCCAGCTGGAATTATGCATTCAGTTTATGAACAGTTCCACAAGTTGGGCCTAAAACCTTCAGGTTTTGTGGTACTGTTTTTAAAAAGACCCCAAACACTGATCCAAATCAAAAGAACGGTTTCAACAAAAAAATTAAATTAAAATAAAATTAGCTTTTAAAACGAACAAAACCCGACATTTTACCAGGTTTTATATCCACTACAAGTTTAGTGCTGCAGGATCGTCGGCAGAAAGTCACGATGAAGAACGTGGAGGAGTTCAGCGATGGTTCTGTTTCAGCTGCTGTCGACGTAAGAATCAAAGAAGTGAATGTCAAACGGAGAATAAAGATCGGTGCAGATGTCTCGCTGGAAACCACCGGTAAACAAACGAGCTCTTCAGACTCTGCTCCTAAATGTTCTTCTTGACCTTCACTCTAATTTAAAATGTCATGAGGTCCAGGTTGGAGGCGTTCTCCAACTTCACCACCAGGTGGCACGAACTGATCCAGAAAGATTTTTCCAGAACGAACCGAAGTCGAGCTGAGGTAGATGTTTGTGTTTGATCTGTCAGGTCAGCTCTCCTTCACATCAAACATGAGACCTTTAAAGAGTTTGTTCACTCATGTTTGAGAGCCGGCACAAGAAGAAACCCCTTCGACGCAGAAGGAGCTTCTGATTCAACTCTCGGACGACAGGAGAGTTTCAGAGGCGGCTGCGCTGTGAAACAGAGCGACACAGGTAAACACAGGTGGAGGCTGTTTCTGGGGGGGGGGGGGGGGGGTCTCCTCACCCAGCTTGTCGGAGGAAGTGATAATGTCAGTGGGGACACACGAGTCCAGATCAGCGTCCATGATGCCGAGGGGGTCCAACTGGGCCACATGATGCCCTCGGATCTAAAAGGGACGACAACAGCACAGAACCCACCCAGGACAGAAGGAGGAGGAGAGAATGGTGTGAAGGTGAGGAGCGATCATGAAGAGCCGAGCAGGAGGAGCAGAACGTTAAAGAGGAACAGAAACAGATTTAAACAGCAGAGAAGAAGAAAGGAGGAAGAGGAGGAGGAAGATGGGTGGGTGACAGGAAGACAAAGGTTAACACAGGTGTTTGTGTGCTCGTTCAGGTGTGTTCTCACCGACGTCCTGGAAGCCGGTATTCACCGGAGCAACATCAAAATTCACACAGCTGATTCCCAGAGGGTCCAGAAGAGCACTGTGATGGCCTATCACCTGAACACACACCCAACACACACGTTATCACCTGAACACACACCCAAC